AAAACACACACACCCTTAGTTGTTGAGTCAATGGTCGGCCTGCAAATGAGGGGCCCTCGACAAAACACACGCGCCCTTGGTTGTTGAGTCGATGGACCCCTAGAAAGACACTCCCCTCCCCTCCCCCCAGTCGCGAGTCGATGGTTGGCTTGCAACTGGGAGCCTTAGACAAACACGCACACCCTTAGTTGTGAATCGATGGTTGACATGCAACTAGACCTCGACAAACACACAAATACACCTAGTTGCGAGTCAAATGTTAGCTTGCAACTGGGGCCATGATAGACACACACACACACACTAGTTGCGAGTTGGATGGTCGGCTTGCAACTGGGGCCCCGACAAACAAACACACACCTTGTTGCGAGTCGACAATCGTCTTGCAACTGGGGGCCCGGACAAACACACACACCCCTAGTTGCGAATCAATGGTCGACTTGCAACTGGGGACCCTCGACAAACCCACACACACCCCTAGTTGTGAGTCGACCGTCGGCTTGCAACTGGGGGCCCGGATAAATACACACACCCCTAGTTGCGAGTTGATGGTCGTTTGCAACTTGGGGCCACAACAAAACACACACATCATTAGTTGCGAGTAGATGGTCGACATGCAGTTTGGGACCCTCTACAAACACACACACTCTTAGTTGCGAGTCGATGGTGGACATGCAGCTCTGGACCCTCAACAAACACATACACCCCTAGTTGTGAGTCGATGATCGGCTTGCAACTGGAGACCCTCAATAAACACACACACCTAGTCGCAAGTCGATGATCGACATGCAACTAGGGACTCTAGACAAACATACAAAAGCATCCTTAGTTGCAAGTCGATGTTCGGCCTGCAGCTGGGGGCACCGACAACACACACACCACCTAGTTGCCAGTTGATGGTTGACATGCAACTGGGGACCCTTGACAAATATACACACCCCTAGTTATGAGTCGATGGTCGGCTTGCAACCGGGGGTCCCAACAAACGTGCGCACACACACACATACTTAGTTGCGAGTCGATGGTTGACATGCAACTGCGGACCCAAACAAACACACACACCCTTATTCATAATTTTTTTAATGTAAATTCAAACAAGTGTTCACAAATTAAAATTTTGTGAATTTTAGTAAGTGGTCACACACTTCAAAAAATGTTCATGTACTTAAAATATCATGAATTTGAAAAATGGAGAAAAATTAAAAAGGAGAATAACAACAAAATGGAAAAAGCAGGTCAAATAAATGGGACAGATGAAGGGAGAGAAAGTGCCCAAATAGAAAATGAGTAAGAGCATAAGCTAACACCAGATCCTTTGTATATGGTGTCCGTTAAATCTTCCTATTCTCCACGATCCAGAAAATACAAGCAACATTCTAAAAAAAATACAAGCAACGATCCTAAAAAAAAGACCCACGATAGCAGGCTGTCAAGAAAAATGGAAAAAGGGGCCAACGAACCAACGGTAAGCGGCTGCACGTGACAAATAAACGGCCGACCAAAAGTTGCCTGAAATTTACATACAAGATGGAGAGAGACTTGAGACACGGCCGAGATAAACAAAACGATTAACGGCCCGCCAATATTGGCGTACTAGACTGGCGAGACAAATACGACACAGGATAACCACAAGATCAACACTGATCCAACGGTGAAAGATTTAGATATGAGATAACTATTTCACATTTAGATGTGAAATAAAGAACCCGTTCCCCTAAATCCCCCTAAAAAATTCCCCTAAATAAAAAGATTTAAAAGTGCACGCGAGAAAAGTCACGAGATCCTGGTTCAAAGCAAAAAAGTAGCGACCACGTTGAGGCTGCCTCCTCCATGTCGTCGGTCGCACGTGATCGGAGTAGCATACTACCATTGCGCAATTTTACAACCCCTTGGAGCCTTTGTCCTCGCATCCCATGGCATATAAGTCCCCGCTTAATAATAATCCAACGGATGTACTACTGGCGATTCATTCAGCCGTGCCCGGTCGGCGCAAGGGTCCGCGTGCTTCGTAGCACATCTTCCATTCGTCAGTTCGTCCCATACTCGTGGGCCGGCGTTTTGTTCAGTGCCGCCGTATGAACCATATGCCCGGTCAGGTCATATACAATGATGCTATTTTAGGAGTACCACATAAGATAAATGATGAGATGGAGAAGAGAGAACCCGTAAGAAAATGATTGTCCTCTCTTATTTAAAAGAAGACAAGATATGATCTCTTAGCATAATATGTCTCACCATGTTTATAGAAATAATTAGTTATTGAAGATAAGGCTAAGACATGACCCATTGTAGAGGTCTTTTTTGTCATATCTAAATTACATACAAGACTTAATATAAAACTATTTTATCAATTATTGTACATGCCCCATGCGACCCGCGCTGCAAACTTCGGTTCGACCAGCCGTTCCGGATAGACGCGTCCTTGTCCTCCGCAATAAATCCAGGCAAATATGAGGTTCTCCCGTGGCGGCGGAAAACACATCGGCGCCATACGCGTGCGCACCGGCCGATGGGCCACGCGTGTCCGCGGTGACGGGCGCGTGGGCGGTGGGAGGATGGGCGGGCGGGGCATGTGTCTGTACAGGTACGCGCTATTGGTGTGTTCCGGCGGCAATGGCACAAGGTAGCAACGCGCCAAGCCGAAGGCTGGTGACGTGTTTTGTATCTTCCTCTTATTTTGGAAGCGGCGGTGATGCTTTCGGCTCGCCGATAGCAACATGGCGAGAGGACGCGTCGTGGACCGAACTGGATTGTCGGCTGCTCTTGCACGGGGATAACATGCACACTGGCACACTGCTACTCACCGTAACAACCCACTAATAAGAGTACAGTTATCCTGATTTTACCCAAATATCCAGCAAAACAAATGCATACATGTCTAAATAGAATCACCGTAACCACCCACTAATAAGAGTACAGTTATCCCTCACTGCTACTCACCGTAACGCTGCAAATATCCAGCAAAACAATTGTTCATTCAAAATGATTGTAAAGAATACACTAACATTTTTTTTCAACAGACAACAAGGGGTAGGGGCTCAGATGCCCAAGTTGCCATTTCATATCAAAATTACTACAACACTGCATGGAGGACCTAAAAACAAACAATTTTTTTGCAAGATGATCATTCCTTTCGTAAATAGGTCCCTAAACCATCAACAGTACCACATATGAGTCCAGTCACATGTAGCAATCCCGTCGGAGACTTCATGGCCACCGTCTTCGACACAAGCCTTGGGCCTCACGTGGAGGTTGAAGATGGTACACCAGAAGCAAATACCTTGATGATCTGTAACTTATGTGGCCCAGGTCGATGCAACGAGATGAAGGAAACGTTGGGCCCACAATGCAGCTTGTAATCCCGGAGAACTCCAGCTCAACGAAGACAATAGTCGGATCCATCTCTTCCCGTTCGCCCGGCACCACGCAGGCGAAGAAGAAGAAGAAGAAGAAGAAGAAGAAGAAGAAGAAAGGATGACCCCGAATCTCTCCCAAGCTTATTGAAAGTGCTTATGCCAAAACCACAGCCTCTTGTTGTCCTCCACCATGCAAGTGGATCAGAGGAGGAAGGCGAGCTCCATACGCCGTCGTTGGCAACAGAGCAAAGCACATCGACGACATGTCACCAAACCACGACATAACACCATGAGCACTACCCTAATGTAACAAGGAACACATGCACACCTCTCAGCAGCCATCGGTGTTGGACGCAGCGTTTGATCAGGCCAGGAATCTCTGGCTGAGTTCAAAAAAGGGAGGCGGCGCAAGAGGAGGAAGGGTGAGGGAAAAGAAAGCGAGCCACTCCCAAGAATACACTGACCATAATATGTGCAAGTGGACAAATAAATGAATACATGTCTAAATAGAATCTTTACTTAAACTTCTTTCACTTTGATTGTAGATACATGGAAAAATATTTGTAACATCATTATACTCTCTCTTCCCGAGTTTATTACGCCCTCTCACATTTTGAGTCAAAGTTTGACAATACATCTGTGATATAAAATATGAGATATATGTCAAAAAATTATATAATTGGAAATTTCATTTCGAATCCTTATAAGTTTTATGACACGTCTCTTATATTTTGCAAATCAATTCTACGGTCAAAGTTTAACCCAAAATATAAGAGGGCCTAATAAACCCGGACGGAGGTAGTAAACCCGCAATGAATGATATTTTTATGATTTTTCTTTTCTTTTATAATTTTGTATCAGCATATAAACACAAAGCAGTAAACTTTTTTTTTCTGGTAATAATACTAATCCGCTAAAAACAACAATGAAAACCACACAACCCCTTGTGACAATTTTTTTAAGAAAAACTTTTGTTCTATCCATAATCAATCATGGCAGTATAAAGAGCGACAACTGTAACAAAAATTACAACCATATACATGCAAATCTTAAGCCGCCTTAATGCAAGGATTTGGCCGTCACACGTGTTAGATAAACATGTCTCCGAAGACTATTTCCAGCTCTGAGCATGCGGCAACCAAGCACATCACCAATCTCTCCCCATCAAGAAAAAAAAAATAAAAAAATCCATCTTTTTTTTGTCAAAATTTTGCTTTATTGTTTATTGATCTCCATTTTGCTTGCTTGCTTTTACCCTTTCCATCCAGTGCCTTAACCCCGAGGAAAACCTAAAGCGAAGACACACAATAAACTAACGAAACGAGCAGACCCCACCCTTACCTCCTCTCCTCGTCTCCGCCACTTCCCCCCTCCCGCCCCCACCAAATCTGGGAGTTCCCGGACGCCATTGCCCACCTTTCCCCCCAGCACAAGGAAAGCACGCCAGCGAGAGAAGGAGCAGCAGAGGCTGCACGGCGGAATTACCGTGAGCAACTCGGAAGGTATCTCGATCTTCGTCCCCGCCGCCCCTCCCCGCCCGCGCGCGGACGATCTGTTCCTTCTTTTCCCGGGGTTCTTTCCTCCCTGATCTGAAATCTCCCCGCAGCCGCGCCGGAGCCGGGTCGAATCGGGCCGTGGCGAGGGGAAATGTCCGGCTTCGTCGGGGTCGTCGTCTCCGACCCCTCCCTGCAGGGCCAGTTCACGCAGGTCGAGCTCCGATCGCTCAAGGCCAAGGTGACACCCCGAATCCACGGCTTCGTCTTCTCTCCTCTGCTCCAAAAACCAGAATTATTACTATAGTTCCCTCTGTCGCCTCTGCTCCAACTCGAGGTTTCTGTTTCGTTGTGGTTTGCAGTTCGTGTCTCTGAAGAGGGACTCCGGCCATGTCACCACCAAGAACCTCCCGGGGTTGATGAAGAAGCTGAGGGGACTTCACGAAGTGGTCCCCGAGGAGGAGATCGCCGCCTTCTTGTCGGAGTCGTACCCCGACAGCGACCAGGAGATTGAGTTCGAGTCCTTCCTCCGGGTACATCTTGGCGATCCTCTGAGTTCCTGACTAGTAGTATTACTAGTATTACTGTGGAGGGGAAGAGTGTGTTATCATTGTCTTACTGATTCGGTTCGGATGGGGAATCTGGTGTGGTGCTTTTGCAGGAGTACCTGAATCTGCAAGCAAGGGTGAGCGCCAAGGAAGGAAGCGCCGCTGTCAGCGGCGGTGGCGGGGCTGGCGGCCGCAAGAATTCGTCGTCGTTCCTCAAATCCACCATCACTACGCTGCTGCACAATCTCAACCAGGCGGAGAAGTCTTCTTATGTGGCACATATTAACACTTACCTTGGTGAAGATCCATTCTTGAAGAAGTACTTGCCAATCGACCCATCCGGCAACCAGCTATTCGATCTTATTAGGGATGGCGTCCTGCTCTGGTGAGAAGGCTTTCTAGCTAGCTACATGGCGCATGCCAATTTACTCTTTCAACAGAAACTGTCTGCTAGTTGTAGCTGATGTTAATTCCTTGCTGGATCTTTTGTCAGTAAGTTGATCAATGTAGCTGTACCTGGGACCATTGATGAGAGAGCAATAAATAAGAAAAGAGTTCTTAACCCATGGGAGAGGAATGAAAACCACACACTGTGCCTCAACTCTGCAAAGGCCATTGGATGTACTGTTGTTAACATTGGCACCCAGGATTTAGTGGAAGGAAGGGTATGCCTTGTGTTCCCTACTTGTTATCCTTTCTTGTAGCTCATGATGCAATGTCACTGATATGAAAATGTTGCCGCGCTCTAAATTATCCTTCTTCTTTTGCAATGAGATAAATCATTTGTCTCCCTTTAATTCTTTCATGTCCTGTATAGCGATATATAGTTTTTCTTTGATGAATTTGTTGGTAAATTTAGGTGTAAATACTGTTATCATTATTAACTGCTGCCTGTCCTTTGTTCTTTTTCACTTTAATCACTTACTAGTAGGTAGTACATCTCATATTTCTTTGTTGATTTTCATGTGTTAGGTGTTTTTAGCCACCTTACCCTAATGGGAAAATGCTCCCAATTCCATATTCAGTTCTATAAATTCCCTTAAAAAAATCAAGTGGTGACTTACACATATTTCTATTGTTTTCTTTGGCAGCCTCATTTAGTTCTTGGATTAATATCTCAAATCATAAAGGTAAGTACTGAAATGAGATTCACATTTTTTATGCAATTCAATGGACACACTATGGTTGAACTCCTCCTTCATCACCTAAAGAGTTGCTTCACTTATTATCAGATTCAACTTTTGGCTGATCTTAATCTTAAGAAGACACCCCAGCTTGTGGAATTGTTTGATGACAGTAAGGTAAGTAGAAGTGTTTTACCTTTGTTTCAGCTCCCAGTGTACATCTTTGCTCAAAACAAAATCCATTTTATTGCATGTTGTACAGGATATAGATGAGGTGTTGAGCTTGTCACCAGAAAAGATGCTGCTTCGATGGATGAACCATCATCTGAAAAAGGCTGGCTACAAGAAAACTGTTAACAATTTCTCTTCGGATGTGAAGGTGCATATGACAGTACATGTCACAGCACTTACTAATCACTTAATTATATGCAATTTTGATACACCTGCAATGATACAAAAATCTGCCTGTTACACATTTGGTTGATCTTATTGTTAAATTTGAGTCTTGTGGGCAACACAACAGCTAGCTTTTCAGCATTGTCTATCAAACACTTTATGTTATTTTCTTCATTTTATGTAATACAGTGTACGTTATGTCGCTCTGTACTTGATCCATCATTATGTTGTTCTTTGCCATGCTTCTGTTCTTGCTCTGTTCAACTTCCGATGGTCACATAAGTTAATTTTTACAGGATGGTGAAGCCTATGCTTATCTTCTAAAAGCTCTTGCTCCAGAGACTTCCCCTGAAACCACACTGGAGACTAAGAATCCTGATGAAAGGGCAAAAATGGTACTTGAACAAGCAGAGAAGTTGGACTGCAAAAGATACCTTACACCAAAGGATATTACTGAGGGTTCTGCCAACTTGAATCTTGCATTTGTTGCACAAATATTCCAGCATCGGTAAGTGCCGACTTTCCTGCTCTTGAAAATGATCTAGAAATTTAAGATATGATCAAAATCATACGAGCTATTTTAAATTGGAAGTTCCTTGGGTCGATTTTAACAATTTTTCCGTGCTGACCATTGATCACTTCAATGATATCATTCCATGATGTGCAGGAATGGTCTAACTAGTGACATTAAACAAGTTACACTCACACAGTCAGCATCACGTGATGATGTTCTAGTATCCAGAGAAGAAAGGGCCTTCCGAATGTGGATCAACAGCCTTGGGGTCGAGTCATACCTGAATAATGTTTTTGAAGATGTTCGCAATGGGTAACAAGACTATTTTCATGATGTCTTGTGTTATTGTGTTATATCAATTGCTGAGTTGATAATTTAGTTTATGATCTTGCAGATGGGTACTTCTTGAAGTACTTGACAAAGTTTCTCCTGGATCTGTCAATTGGAAGTTGGCATCAAAACCTCCAATTAAATTGCCATTTAGGAAACTGGAGAACTGCAATCAAGTTGTCAAAATTGGGAAGGAGTTAAAGTTTTCATTAGTAAATTTAGCTGGGAATGATATTGTTCAGGGAAATAAGAAATTGATAGTTGGTGAGTTCGATCACATCTAACTTTATAGTGAATGCTAATGCACTGTTCTTGATAACTTAGGGGACATATAATTTGAGTTTCTCTGTGTTGTCTTTCAGCACTTCTGTGGCAATTGATGAGATTTAATATCCTTCAATTGCTAAACAGACTGAGATCCCACTCCAAAGGATCCCAAGGAAAGCAAATTACTGATGCAGATATACTGAACTGGGCAAACAGCAAAGTGAAAGCATCAGGAAGAACATCTCGAATGGAAAGCTTCAAGGTGACTTTAATATCCATAGCTTTCACGTAGCCATATAAAAGATTCTAGCTGTTAATGTTTTTCTTAACGTTTTCCCATTCAGGATAAGAGCTTATCAAATGGAGTGTTCTTCCTCGAACTTCTTAGTGCAGTTCAGCCAAGGGTTGTGAACTGGAAAGTAGTTACAAAGGGAGAAGCTGGTCTGTTCTTGATCCACATGTGCTATTTCATGAATTGGTTTCTGATTAATTAATTATATGCTTTCTTTACAAATAGAAGAACCATAGTACTGGCTGATGGCTAATTTCTTTTGATTTTGTAGACGAGGAAAAGAAGCTAAATGCTACCTACATCATTAGTGTTGCAAGAAAGCTCGGATGTTCTGTGTTTCTACTGCCAGAGGACATCATAGAGGTAAAGGGCCATTGTTACGAATATGGAACCGAGCCTGTAATATTTTCATTTTCCAATGAATTAAACTGGATCGGAGCTAAATTCATCTACTGTTTGGAATCTTTACCTTCAGAAATGTTGATGATGCTTGTTGATTGAGAATTGGAACTGTGCTGTGCATATATATTGTTGGTTTTATATCCTCCTTTTGTTCATGTTGATTAAACAGGTGAACCAGAAGATGATCCTAACTCTTACAGCTAGCATCATGTATTGGAGCCTGCTGAGACAACCACAGCCTGAAATATCAGAAGCATCAGAGCCATCCAGCATGGCTTCGGACGCAACTTCCGACATTGGCTCGGAGGATGGTGCCTCAACAGCGGCACCGTCCGAGAGCGAAGAGGCAAACTCACTGTCCGACAGTCTATCCACCCTGACCACAGACGACGCCACCTCAAATGCTCCACCTGCAGAAAACGGGAACGGCGCCACCCCAGATGCTCCACCTGCAGAAAACGGGAACGACGCCACCCCAGATGCTCAACCTGCAGAAAACGGGAACGCCGCCACCCCAGATGCCCCACCTGCAGAAAATGGGAACGATGCCACATGATCCTGATGGTTATATGTTCGTCCGTAGCGCTGTCCATCATTAGCTTCATATACAAGGGTTGGTACCCAAAGTTGCTGCTGCTACCAGAAGTGAAATTTTCTCCTGCTTTTCAGGTACTAGCATAATAGGTACACACCATCATACAGATAGATCGTAGCCACCGTTTGTTCATTAAATTAAATTTTGCTGAATACTAGTAAGTACTATACGGCGGAGAAAGAGAGGGAAATACAGACACATACATATACTAGTAAGTAGGCCGCCGGTTGGTTTGGTTGGCTGGCCATTTCCTGTGCACTTTAGTGCACTTTGATGTCGAAGCTCCATTGCCCAACTCGTGTCTTGTCGGTCCGTCCACGTGCTCTGTTTTTTTTTTCTTCTACCAATTTGCTGTACTGCTCGGGCCATTATCGTTTTTGTACCAAACTGTCGTCGCTGCTGTGGAGTGTGGACCATGCGTCGTGAGCTGTACAAAAACTTGTTGATTTCTGGCATGCCAAGGAATCGCTGTACACATTATGGTAGTAGAGTAGTATTCCTGGGCATTCTTGTTCCTTCGCGTGCAATGTGACGTGTCGGACAGCGATTTGTAAATCAGTGAGCGCGAGGTGCACTGGGAATTACCCCCTGTCTTTGTAGATTCGCTCATTTTGCTCCGTATGTAGTCCATAGTTGAATCTCTACAACTTATATTTAGGAACGGAGGGAGTATTATTAGCAGATGTTTGAAATGGGTCAATCACGCATGCCTGGGAATTGATTAGCTGTTTTATCTTCTTCTTCACAGTGATGGATTTGCACCGTACTATTCGTTGGTCTGCATGAATGAGGCCCAGGACGTGCATTCCGCATGAACAACTATCCCGTACCGTTTGAAAATGATTGCCATTTTTTTCTTGGAACAAGGGCGCTGCGGAACATGGCACCGAGATGACGAGTCGCGGGACTGCACTGCGTGTGCGTCTTCCGATGAGCCTGCGTCGCGCAGGCAGCAGGCTACATAAATCCGCGGGCACACACACAGCGGCCGAGGTCACCACCGGGCCGGCCGGAGACAGCGGCATAACCATGCAGGGCTGGGCTCCATGCCATTTCCTCCCCTCCCCCTCCCCCTCCCCGCCTTGATAGTTGATACTCCCTTGCTTGCTCCCCGAAGTCAAGTAGTGGTAAAGCCGGGGCGAGGCCACACCGCCACCACCACCACCCTCCGCCCCACCACTGCACGCCATCGATGGTTCCGTCCGTGCCCTGCCGTGCGCACGCACGTCGTCGTCAAGCCGGAGCCCGATGCGTCGTCGTTAAGGTCGCTCCCGGGTGGCACCGGTCATTGCCGCCGGCTTCCTCCTCCGTGTACCGTGTCCTCCGGCGATGGAGGGTAGCTGCTGCTGACACGGCGGCGACGTGGCGGTCGAGGAATTGAGCCGGCCAGCTTTACCACCATTCCTATCATCCGCCGCGACATGGCATACATGGGGCAGGCCAGGCATTTCATCTCTCCTACTACGTACCTTAGTACTTTCTCTACCTAGCCAAGTTACCAGCTCTTAGTCGTAGGAGTTATATTAGCAGTAGTTTCTTCCTCTTCGTTTCAGCTTTTCTCAACGAAGTGGTTGCTGTTGCTGTGAATAACCTTTGGCTATTATTGATTTGTATCTGTTAATTTTCTAGATGAACTGGTAGACGATGGCGATTCTTCTTCTTCTTCTTCGCTTAATTTGTTTGTTTGCGCGTGAATGAACGAAAGAAATCTTCGCTTCTTCGGGCTTGAATGTCGTACCCCTATCCTGTAGCTGTACTTGCATTGCGCCTCCAACAGACGCAGAACGGCGGAGGGCACAGTAAGCTAGCTAGGCGGCGAAGCGAGTTCTTCTTGCGCTTGGTTCTGCCCAAACAGTAGCTAGGCGGCACAGTGCTCGTCACTGCGCCCGGCCGGCTACAGTGCGCGTCTTGGTCTTGGGTGGCATGGCACAGCAGGGGGCCGCGACGGAAGAACCAGAGAGGGCGACATGCTTGCGGACATAGAGAACCTCTGCTCCTCCTCTGTCCCTCTTCATTTCGCTCCCACAGAGCAAGGCCAACGTATGTACTGGCGTAGTAAGAACAAGGAACGTCGCATCTCGCGGGCACAGCGCCAAAATCGACAGTCGAGTTAGCCGTTTGCTGCAGCGTGATTCGATCGATCATACAAACTCGATATCCGCGACCTGTCAATCAAAATAGTAATATGCAATAATACTACCATCGTTTTTGAATATATATTTTTGAGCACTGTACAGACGCACACACGCTCATACACTCGTCGTTTTTGAAATTTGATCGTTCGTATCGTGGTCGACAGGTAACAATGCATTGTGTGTGTGTCTCGGAATTAGTCACACACGCGGCGTGCATGCCGGCGAGATGGCATGGCAAGATCGTTTTCTGCCCCACTAGCTAACTACTGTCAGTGCTTAGTAGTTTAGTTTACGAGGGATCGGAAATTCAGAAGGAGTCCTGGCAACCAAAGTGTAGCTAGTAGCGTTGCCAGCGGCCCAGCCCATATAATTCATGGCCGCCGTTACGCACACGCAAGTACGTCCTTGCGCGAACAGGCCGGGACTAGCTGCTAGCTAGGACCATGGTCTGCGCTGCATCTGCATGGCATGCCCCCAGTCAACAGTGCACGCAGGCAGCATCATCAGCAGCGGCAGCGGCAGCCTAGACATGAGGAGGACTCCAGTGTCCAGTCTACGCTGCGCGCGCGGCCGGGAAGACGACGAGCCGCTCGGCGCGCGCCGGCACAACCTACGAGCAACCTGGCCCTCTCGCAGTTGCAGTCTTGCCAGCCGGGGCCACGCCTTGTCCGGTTCCGCGTGCATGTGCCCTAAATCCTGGGTGTCGCCTCGTTTCATTATTTCACTATAGGTAGATACCATGGGACGGGTGATATGATCTGGTTCGTGCGTATGATCACTGGTGCTTGGCATTCGATCGTACTGTTAGGGTTCTACAGGTAGTAAATCATGCTAACCTTGTCAGTGCAACCTGTTTGTTTAGAAGTGTGGTGGATTGGAAGAGACGGCTTGAGGAACGAGCACCCGCTGCTGACTGTTCCTTCCTGAGCTGGGCGTGTTGTTTTCTAGGCCGGGTATGTGATCTGATGTGGAGTGTTGCCATGCCTCTCTTGTCTCGGATCTCGCGGCTTGCATCGCGCCCGAGAGAGAAGGGTATATGGACCATCTAAGGCCCCTCCCAATGCTTCACCTTATACATGTGCTAAGGTTGCCAACTAAGCAAAAAATATGATGTGGCATGCTAGTTAAGAAGAGAGAGAGAGTAGTATGGTGACCTCAGGAAGAAACGGTGCTAAGCACGTGTACCTAGGTGGAAGCACAATTCTGAGTCTACAATGAATTAAATGCACGAAGCTTAGTACTCAAAAGTTTAGCACCTTTGCATTGTGGACTTGAGTCGCTAAGGCATTTAATATGCTTAGCATCTCATCTAAGCACCTTTGCCTTGGGGGAGGTCTAAAACTTGGCAATGACCCGAGGGGGATGCGACCACCTAGGCACCAAGATTGTTGGCAACTCCTGAGCGTCTCAGACCGGTTTCAAACGCCCAAACGGATAGCCCGGTCACTGACCGATCACAAAAATTCGATTCAAACATCCGGACTGACCGACACCCCTCATATCTAGCTCAAATATGGGGCGGATATAAGGGCGTCCGGGCACATCCGTCACGTCGGACCTGGTTCATGCTGGCCCATCTGACCTCACATATATTCCTCCCCATCCGCTCACCGTATCAAACCCTAACCATTTCACTCCACTCCCCTCGGCCACCAAAGCTGCTGTCCGGCGATCTCCAGCCTTCTCCGGCATAGCGGGCAGCGGATTTAACTCCGACCAGTCTGGATCCATCGACTTGTCATCCCGTGCGGGCTGAAGGAAGCAATGGCCATCCACATTGCACTCCGTCGCTTTCGGGAGGACAATGCCCGGTCGACAGCAGGATCTGTCCGGCGCGACTCCATAGCGTCGGCGCATCGGGCGCTCGGATCCTCCGGAGAGCCTTCAAATATCCCCTTCCCTATCACTGCTCCGGTGGAGTATGAGTTCCACCGGGATCTCTGTGCCTGCCATGGGAAGGAGAGGATAAGGGCGGCGGAGGCACGCCTCGCTGCCGACATGGCGGCGGCGGAGGTGACCAATGCGGCCGAAGAGGAGGAAGCCAACCGCGCCTGCATTGTAAAGATGCGATGGATGAGGAACACCCACGCCCTCGCCCAAGAGCAGAATCGGGTGGTCCGTGCCATGGCCGGACTGCCACCAAGGAGGAGAAGGAGGACAACAACTGGACGGACAACTTCGACGACGAACAGATCCGACTCGATCCCTACTGCGTCTTCGACCGGTACTTTCGTGAGAAGGATGGAAAGGGTGCTGGGAAGGGCAAGCGCAGTTGTGGATGATCTTCTCCACCATAGCCAAACCTGCCAAATTTTGGTAGTCGGATGGCATGTTAGTGATGTAGTAGCCGGACGATGTGTGTAATGCATCGTTTACATAGTTGCATGAGTTTGTAGGGATTTGAGGTATGCTAATTGAGGTGTCCGGTTGTGAGAAGGGTAATTTCAGGCTTGACTAGTCATCGTCCGCGAACGCGCCCGGGCGCGTCTGCGGGAGTTTGAGGGGTAGGATTTGCCAAGTCCGGCTATAGATGCTCTTATAGTGTACTAATCCTGCTCGTGTTCTTAGAGTAAGTAAAATAGGATGAGAGCAAGTCTGGTAAGGTAAAGTCAACAGGCTATAAAAATTAAACTATTATATCTATGTTGAGTTGGATGAGAGAGAAGAGCAGAGAGAAGGGATGCGGCTTGTAGATTAATAGTCGGTTGCAGCACAACTCCAAAAAACATTGTGAGAGTGTAAGTCCTACGTGTGAGCTGCGTTGTGATTTCCTTGAAGCGGAGAGGATGATGCAGTACAATAGAGATAAGTATTTCCCTCAGTTAT